TTAAAAATCCAAATTCAAATTCAAAGCTTCAAAGCTTTTTAATGGTTGTCAATGGTGGAATTGCTGCTCTCTTGTGCAAGATACGTGGAAGAGGGGGATGAGATGTGGAGAGAGAAACGTGGGAAAGTGGAAGATACGTTAGAATGATTTTAGGATACTAATTATTATCATTAATTCCCTTAAAATGTACATAAATGGTAATTGAGTATATAAAATATAATTATAGTAAAACTTGAGTAGGGAGGATAATATAGTTTCATATAGTGTATAGGAATGTAAAAATCTCTATTATTTAACTTAGGGAACTACCAGCTATGTTTATTTATAAGTAGCTTATTATAGAAATTGGTCAATTTATAAAATATTATTCTCTCTATTTCAATTTAAATGAGGTAGTTTATCTCGGCACGACGTTTAAAAAAAAGACTTTTGAAACGTGTGGTCTTAAAAGCTTTGTGGGGCCATGATATATGTGTGATTATAAAAGTTTCTCATTAAAGGTAAAATATGTAAAATGAGGAGTTTAAAGTTGAATTATTTTCAATTGTAGAAATGTGTCATTCTTTTTGGAACAAACTAATAAAAAAAGTGGGTCGTCTAAATTAAAACAGATGGAGTACTAATATTAGCCAATTAGCTATTTATAGCCAAAAAATGGTCAAATTTTTGCTTTTTTTTTAGTGAGTGTTATTAAAATAGATTGGGTACATCTTAAGGAGCTTGAATCTTAGTTTTGGAATAGTTTGGTGGAGTTTAGAGGTGGTTTGATTTGAAAATTCGAAGTAGAAGATGAACATGAAAAAATGATATGTGTATCATTTGTGTATCACATATGTATCAAATTTATATCAATTGTGTATCTCATGTATATCCATGTTTACATGTGTATGAGATACATGCATGGTACATGTTTGATACATGTGTCGCAGAAGAATTTTTTGAACTCGATTTAACTACGAATTTTGATACCAAATCAATCGAAATCACATCTAATCTTCATCAAAGTTTATATATTGACTCATATATATGTTTTGAATGAATTCCAGTCATACCCACTGAGACTTGTTTGCTTAGAATTTTGGTATATTGTATATATTTCTTTTTGTATTTCATCACCTTATTTGTTACCTCATCCATGAAATTTCCTTTCCATTTTGTATTTAATGGTGCTAATCATGCTTAAAACATTAAAGGAGATCTTTGCGTGTTATTCTTGGAAAAAAAAAATCTTATTTATTTAGGCTTTCAATTTTTATATGTGTTTGACTAGTTTTAGTAAATTTATGATTAATAATTAGAGATTAGTAAATTAAAATTTATTAAGATTCCATTTAACTTATTATTAAAAGCGTTTGGCCGACATGCTTAGGTTATCAATGAGCTGTGATTGATGATCGAAGTTTGAGTTGAATAAATAAGTTTGTGGCCAACCTTGTTCTCGAAAAAGGGAAGAAAAGTTGAAGGGCTAAAAATGGAAGTATAAATCACTTTACAGCCGAGAATGGAAAAAGTAAAGCAGCAAATATTCTCCCTTTGCAGGCCATGAAGTAAAAATTAGGACAAGTGCATTCGTCATAAGGGAATATTCCAAATTTACATGGTAAGAACATTTATGTCTCTGAAAAACAAACAATCTATACTTTGCAATATTCAAAATTGTACACAATAACAACCCAGTATAGTGGGGTTTAGGGAAGGTAGTGTGTACGCAGACTTTACCCCTACCCTGGGGTAGAGAGGCTATTTCCAAATAGACCTCCGACATCCTTCCCTCCAAGAACTTCCCACCTTGCCCTTGGGGAGACTTGAATTCACAACCCCTTAATTGGAAGTGGAGGTTGCTTACCATCGGAGCAACCTCTCTCGTCCAAAATTATACTCTTTCATATTTGCAAATAAATAAATATAAACAAAAAAGCCATTTTCGCGAAACAAAATTTGAGACATTGTTTATCAATGAATCATCACCAATAAAATAAGAATTCCAATTCCAATTTATCAATGAGCTCGAGAACAATTAATGTCTCTCTCCTGTTAGGTGTTGCAATTTATGAAGGAAGACAATAATTGGTTGTTCACCTAATCAAAGTTGATATAGTTACAATGAAATCTCATATTCTACTTTCTTCGTTTATTCCGTTCTTGGTAATATAGGTTACCTATGGAGTACTTAATTCTAAACCATACAATTGCGCACCACGTAGTCTCTTTGATTTTGACACTAAAGTATCGAATTACATTATCGCTCCTTGTCTTCACGTTCATCAACCAAACAAACCCTGGAATTTTTTTATATATTATGTGAAACCTGGTGATATATGAATGTCATATGACTTCTGAAGTATGAAACCTGCAAATAATGTGTGCCACACTTGGTAAGAGAAAAATATACGGAGTTAATTTCACCTATAGTCACTAAATTTAGTTTTGTAACATTAAGTGGGCGTTTGGATATAAGAATTATAAAATTTCGGAAAAAAGTAAAAAATCAAGTGAAATTGTATTAAAAAATTAGAATTGTGTTTGGACATAAATATACTTTTAGGCTGTTTTTGAATTTCTATGAGTGATCTTAAGTAAAAAATTTGAAAAATAGATTTTTGGAGTTTTTTCAAAATTCATCTTCTAAGTGAAAAAATCGAAAATTTTATGGTCAAATACCGATTTCGAAAAAAGTGAAAAAAAAATCGGAATAATTTTTTATATATGGCCAAATGGACCCTAAGTTACAAACTATTTTTGTATCCATAAAATCACGCTACAATGTGTAACCGCAAAATATGCATATGCAAGGAAGTGACGCAGGAGCTGCAACGTTTAGTGATTACAAGAAGTCCAGGATGACGCTGTAGTGCTCAACTTCCCAGAACCTTTCAGATTTAATCGAAATTTAATATTTAGATTTGGTTCTCGTCAGTGAGTGAACACAGGTTAAGGAAACATCAATTATTGGAATTCCAATTAAAAAGTCCTAGCATAAATTAAAACGCAAGAAATAATGGCTTTTGGTGCAACTTTAAAACCATACCACTTGACTGTAAAGTAAAATTAAAACGAATAAACTGAAATTCCCATTTCATTAAAAAATTTGAAGGGGAAAAAGTAGCACAAGATTCCGCCTTCATACTATACTCGCTGTTAGTATCTTTTACTATTACAAAATTTAAAATTTGTAATATATTACAACTCTTATATGACAAACTATATAAAAGCATCATTAACCATCTAAATAACCCACGTTGTATTCGACATTTTTCTTGAAAAATATGGTTCAACAGCCTTGATGCATGGACGTCGAGAAGATTTGTCCTTGGGGAGATTTTACTTTTATCATATTCCGTTTGCATTCTTAAATATTGGCTAGTAAACAATTATTCTCTTCGTGGTAAATAAATTTCTCAACAAGTTTTACACTTGGCAGGAGAGTTTTCTCAAATGAACTTTCAAAGACTAAGGGGTCGTTTGGTAGGGTGTATAAGAATAGTGCAGAATAAGGTGTATTAGTAATACATGGATTAGTAATGCAAGCATTAGTTATCCAAATATTATTTCTTATCTATTGTTTGGTGTGGTGTATTAAAATTATAATGCATTGCATAATTTTTAAGAAAACTAGTTGCTTACAAAAATGCCCTCCATATTCTCTAGCTTTAAGGGACTTCAAGAACAATTTTGTCTTTAACCATGTTAATACATGCATTAAAGTCTTGGTATTACTAATGCCATGGTTTTCTATGCATTACTTATGCATAGGATAATGCCAAGTATGATATAAAACTAATACACGTATTAGTTATATACAAGTTGAAAAAATGTACCAAACAAGGCATTAGTAATGTATAGAACTAATGCTTGCATTATTTTTTCTAATACCTCCTACCAAACAACCCCTAAATTGTTATTACCATGTTGCAACATTTTAGAGACAGATAACCCATCCATTATATACCAGCTTTCCAACACCTTGTATTAAATTACTTTTTCATTCTCTACAAGAGGAGTAACACAAGAAACCACCCAAACAAGCATAATCAACCCATACACGGTCAACGAAACAAGTTCGAGGAGAAAAAATAATTGCAGGAAAAAGGGAAGAAAGACCACAGGAGGCCAAGAGAAGTTTCTTTAGTAATTTTTCTTTACTCTAAAAAAGAGAGACACTCAAACGTTGAAATCTAAGTTAGGAGGACTTCTCACCTGAACTAAGATGTAAATGTTATTCTATGGAAAATGCCTTCCCACTACACTCACAGTAAAGATGATAAAGTGAAGTTGCATTCTGTGCAACAGCTGACAACACTTCTCAGTTCTCCCACAAGAGTTGAAACTTGTACCATCAAAAAAACCAGACCGTTTTCAGGGAAGAACAAAGAGCAGATAATGATGTCAATGATGAAATCTTTACTACTGACAATTTTTCTAACAGGAGCCAAGAGATAAACATGAATTTACTAATTACTATACAAAGCTGCAAGAAAACGAGAAAAGTTTAGTAGTTTCGCGGTCATTTGTTTAAAACTTCAAATCATTGTTGATGACTTCATTCTTCAACCAGGAAGAGTTCAAACATTGACCTTAGAAGGATCAGTCCGTCAGACTGACCCCGAATCCTCTTCAAAAACACTAAAGTTCTTATACAACTTAAAATAGGAACCATGATTTGCGCATCTACCAGAAGTATCGAATTTAGTCACAGGCAGAAAGTCTAACCGCCGCCGCCGCCCGCCCACCCTCGCACAGCCCAAAGGTAAAAAAACACCTCCCTTGTTTATTTTGGCGGGATCAAATTAAATACGAGTCCTCCTATCATAGTTGTATGGTTGTAGTGATTATCCTACTAAGCCACCCCAAATGTAAAAACATGAGCTTGTTCAATCTTCACCAGAGATGAGCGGCAAGGCTTAGTCCTCCTATGTACATATTTTTGCTATCACAATATCCATCCCAACATCAGTTTGAGAGCTATGTGGTTTTCCTAGAATAAAGAGAGAGAAGGANCATACAAAGAGAAGAAGAACTCATTCACACGATTGGATCTTCAATAGGAAGATGCCGAAAGGCAGTATCCTTCAGAAAATATTTTGAACTGACCAGCACCGCTATCTTATGCTCCACAATGCACAGTAATGACCAAAGAGCCAGTTATGGCACAGAAAGATTAAAGTGAAAAGTAACACAACTTTCTTCTCTCCTAACGACCAGTCTTGTCGTCTTTGACACTCTTGTTGTCTTTATCGCTAGTGCGCGGGGTGTACTGGCTAGTAGATGATGGTGAATACCCAGGAGCACTTGGTGAGTATCCTGCACTTGGACTGAAGACAAGAAAAAAAGCTTTTAGAAACAAACATAAATCACATTGCATAATAGTCTTGCAAAGTAAAGAACTAACCTGTACTGGGGAGAACTAGGACTATAATCTGGACTTGTACCAGAGTTGTATGGGCTGAATTGAAAGGAAAAAGAAAAAGAAAAAGAGACTATTATAATATAAAAAAGATCAGGTAATAGTGTTCATTAACTTCAGAATGCAGCATAGGACGTACTAAAGCTAAAAAAGAAGTAAGACCATCTAGTTCCACCAAGATTTCAGGCAGTAAATCAAAATACAGAAACACATGCACATCACTCACCTGCTGGGACTATAGGTTGGGCTTGAAGGAGAATATGATGGAGATGTTGGAGAGTACGATGGTGACGTTGGACTGCAACACAAGACAGTATTTAATCACGTCATTAGTAGTATATCAAGATCCCAGTCTGAAATCCACCAATCCAAAACCCCAACGACTTTGGAAACCAATTAGTTCTAATGAAGCAGACTCAAAAACCACAGATAACAACCTAATAAGGTAGATGCTACAGAAGTCATGAATTATTATCAAACATGGCCAAATTAAGAACAATTCCTGCCTCGGCAAAAGAATAAAAACACCTGTGTCAAACTAAAGGTTATTTACCTGTAACTTGGAGATGACGGGCTGTATGGACTAGACGGAGACAGCTTTGGACTGGTCGGCGAATATGCAAGGGAGGGGCTGTATCTCGCCGAGGGATTGTAACTTGGTGATGTAGGACTATATGATGGTGATGTTGGGCTGTAACTGGGA